TTCACCACTTGAACTCTTCGCCCTTTTAGAGAGAGCAGATCCCGCCCTACCGACGGGTACACCCTTTGAGGAAAGTTCAGCAGAACACGGATCATCGGGGGACCCCCTCCGTTAGTCGGTGTCTGGGCGCAGTTGGTAAGTTGGATCTGGCAATCTCGCAGATTTTGCTGATCCCGCTACACCACAATCCACCGACCCTGCGTTATCTAAGGGCCGACTTTGGGGATCGTCCCCCGTCATGGATCCAACATCCATTGCTTGGATCTCGACCCGTCGATCCCTCTGCAGGATCTTTCGCGGAGTTGGATATGAAGGCCGATCCACCAAGGGGCCAGTTGGCTCCGCCGGGAGCTCCACCTCTCCGAGGGATTCGATCTCGGTAGTCGCCTCGTACACCAGATTCTGCCATTCTTTGTAGCGGCGGGATCCCACTGACACATATCCAGGTCGTCTAGGGATACCGTCCTTCGCTAACCATCGCCCGATCTCCTCATAATGGTCCAGTAATAGTCTCTTATCGCTGACGTTCGTGACCTGGAGGTATTGTGATCGACCTGGCCCCTGGATTACGGTAGGTACCCATTTCTCGCCCCGAGTGACCCACCGTTTCTCATGTTCCACCCACTTTAACCGGTCTGGCAGCTCCCAGGTTTCCCCGGGCTCGATCCAGGCTGTCTTATCCGTCCTTATGATCCTCATCTTCGCTCCATACAGCGGTCGCCGTCCGCTGAGCTGGATCCGCATCTCACCAGGGAAACAAAGTGTCCCATCCGCTAGATCCAACCTCACTCCGGCCGGTACCATGAAATCCATCCCGAGGATGGCGTCTTGACCAGCGAGATCTCCAACCCAGATGTCAAACCAATACACCAAACAACCTGCCAGCGTGATCTTGATCCGCGTTCTCCCATTCGTACGGTACACGCCTTCACCAATCCCAACACAGTCTTGGATCCGACTTTCATCCACTTGGCACCCAGCCTTACGAGCAAAGGCGGTATCTAGTATAGACACCTCGGCACCACTATCTAGGAGTAGGATTGCTTTTTCATTGTTGATCTTGCCCCCTACCTTGGCTTGTCTGAACCACTTTCCTGGGGCATGGTACTTCCAGTATCCACGGGACTCCCCGGTTAGCAGATCCATGGATCCAACATCCTCAGATCCACGGGATCCAGTGACCTGACAGACCTTAGGTGGATCTGCAGTGACCTCACCCTTGGTAGGCTCAAACCATCGGCCATGTTGGCGCTTCTCCCAATAACCACGTGCCTCTCCCCTTTGTAGATCCAGGGTGGAAGAAACTTCGGATCTGGCAAACTCATCCACTTGGCGCAAACTAGAGATCTTGGCAACTGACACTTCATGTAGATCACATGTATTATCGACTGGATCTAGGGTCCTGCTACCTGGATCTAGCGATGTCTTGTTCACAAATGCATAAATGCAATACCTAGAACGCTCGGCTCGTACCGGATTCAAACCCGGCGAGCGTCCTAGTTTAACATCTTCTCGGCCACTTCTGGCAACATCCCTCGGTGCTTGGCTGGATCAAACCATTGGCGGATCTGGTTGTAGAATTCTTCCATCGGGCACTTGCTGACGTCGTGAATCTCGCCACACCCGCGACACACGTAGAAGCAATGATCCCCGGGATGACCTTTCTTGCCACACTTCTCACAGACCAGATGTTTTTTTAGCATCCAGATTCAGTGTGCTTCCGGGATCCGCACTGTGAACACCTGATTTGTGCTGCCCCGTCCATGAGATCTCGGGATCTGTACATCCCACGGTCCCCGGGTACGGTATCCCCCGGTCGAGAGTTGTCTTCTGTCTTCGCCGTTCGATCGTTGGACGCAGTGAGACAGACTCGACGGTAATCTTCAGGGTCGGAGTCCGAACCGTCGGATCCTGATTCAGTTCCTGAGTCGGGCGCCGTGACTTGGTGGACACGTCGAGCTGGGGCCGTAGGCGTCGGAGCCTTTTGGCGATACTTGCCGGATCCGACCGCCGCCTTCTTCTGGCGGTGTTTCGCGCGATCCACCGCCCGTAGCACTTCCTCAAGCTCGTCTGCGTCGGGAAGTCGTAACAGGGTCAGCCTGTCGGCCTGATCCACGTCTCCCAACGTCTCGATGAAATGATCCACGTGTTCCCGCAGTACCTTGGATCCCCCATCCTTGATCTTCAACTTGGCCCGTAGACCGGCCACATTTAGTCGATGTAGGTATTCTAGCGGGGATCCATCCGATCTGCGGCGAGCGGTGTATTATTGTCGTGCCACCGACACTCCCAATCCACAGTACTGGGTCTGGAAACTGCGCAGCAAATCTGGCCACTTGTTCCTGGTGGATCTGCCCAGCTGCCGATACCAGTTCCTGGCTGGCCCCGCTAGCAGATCCGCAAAGGTCAAACACTTCTCAGCATCCGACGCTTGATCTCTCATGAGGGCCGACTTGACTTTGCTGATCCATGTTCTCGCTCGGTCATCGTCTTGATCCTTGCCCGTGAACTCCTTCAGATCCGATATGGCTGAGATCCGTACCCTCTGGATCATGGACGATCCACCTTCCCCGGCTGTGGCTGTTGCTACCACTGCTGACGAAGTGGATGGGCCATCCAGATCATCTGGGTCGAACTCATCATGGGAGTTGTCTCCCTCCACGGACTCCATCTCCACGTCTCGTGCTCCATGTTCGTGGAGCACTTGCACTTGTGGCACGGGCGCTCTCATACCCTGGTCGGCCAGGTAACGACTCATCGCAGCTTCGAAGTGTCGCTGCAGGGTGCCCGAGGAAGTGTCGGAAGAGCCTGTGGCCGTCTGTTCCACTGGCGAGACCGGATCCGTGAGGCGGTTACCTTGAGCCCGATCTGACGATAACCCCACTGGCTTCTTGCCGGATCTGGCTCGATCCTGGCTGGATTGTGTCAGATCACGCGTAGGGCGTACTGGATCCCGAGCCTTCGCGTTCACAGGGGCTTCC